CCAAAACACTGAGAGGCCTCAATCTTGAGCATTTTCGGGACGCCGCTCCATTACGCTACCCCCCGCCCCGACCCCCCCTTGCGTCTCAAAAGAGGCAAAAGGGTAGGTCAATGGGGGGGGGTACCATATATATATATATATATATATTCATTCAAGTATGAAGACCCACGCAACCCCCAGTCTGATGATTCAGGCATCTATGGTAGAGTGAAGGGAAGGGGCTGGCGGGGGTCGGGATGGACGGCCATGGACGCAAGACATGAGCTCGTGGGTGCTTGCATCCTTTGCATCCTAGGCCCTACGAATACTGAGCCTTGGTCCTTCACTGCAGAAGCAGGACGGCCTCAAAATAGAAATACAGCTCCGGGGGAACTCGAAGAGAGTGCTTGCAAGTCTTGGGCTCGCTGTTTGGGATGTCCTGGCTTACACAGCTTACACCGCCTCCAGCTAACCTCTCAGTTTGGCTGGGATCGTGGAGGTTGGTGTAAGTAAGCACTCCGCACACCATAGCTTGGGGCGAGCAACACCTCCATGAGCCAGGCCTTGGGTGGAGTGGCCTTGGTGGGGGCGGGGCGCTAACTATTTACCCAGTGCCCGGCACTGCTTCGTAGCTTCAAGCCTGAAAAGGTTTTACAATGCCTCTGTCCCATGCCTAACTCGCATGCTGAAGTATGAAGAAGGCGGTATTAGACCAAGATGCTCGAACAGCGCCTGTGGGGTTGCAGGTTCTGGGACATGTGTTCAAAAATCCCGAGACGAAGCGTTGAGTCACACTATCGAATTTTAATGGAATTGACATCTGAAACCAAACTTCACCCAAACTTTCGGACCCGAAACCCTGAGACCCAAGTTGGTTTCCATAGCAGCCCCTTGCAGTACTCACAAAAAGAAGCACCGCATCCTCTCGTGTGGTGCCCGAGGTCTCAAGTGGTTGGGCCCCAAGCTTGTTGAGGTGTTGGAACGGTTTAGACCCTTGGGTCTAGGGTTTTAGTGCCTCGGGTTTTCCTAAGAATTGGGTATGAATTTTAATTAAGGCTTTTGGGGATTGGCATGCAGGTTGGAGTGATCCAACCTTTGAACACGTGATGGGCGGTGAAATCTTGGGTCCCTTTGCCGGTTCTTCTCTTGCAACAGTTCTCCATCACGCTATCTACCTTGCAGCTGACTGTGATTTAGAGCGCCTACCCACCGCGTTCAGTGTTTGAGGAGCACGGGTTATCACAGCGACCCGGGTAGCCTTTGCTTGCAGAGGTTCGCATGCCCTGATGAGAGACTCCACCATCGTCATGCTAGCGCAGTGGAGAGGTCCGGGCTCGATTGCTTGAAACCCCAAACCCTTAAACCCAGCTAAGTAAGCCCTTGAACCAAGCAGCGCGTTAACACCCAAAACCGCTGGTTGTTTTACGCCTTTTCAGCCCGAACACCCTATGAGTTTTTAATCCAAAGCCCTCGAGCCTTAGCTAAGCCCCTTCCATCCCGAAACTCTGAAACTCAGACCCCTCAATCCCCAAAGCCCTTCAACCCCTCTCAACAAAAACATCCCAAAGCCCTTATTACGACCCCCCTCAACAACCTGAGGATGCATGGGCTGGTGGGCATGGATGGGCGGATCTACTGCATGCCCGGCTCAGCCTTGGCTTGGGGCCTGAAAGCATTCAACCCACGGGTTTAGTATGGTAGCTGGGGCAAAATATGATGTCAGCTTACAGTACATCATATACTGTAGTATAGCATGGTATATCATAGTATGTTATGTTTGAAGGGGTGTAGAACTAGACGGTTTCGGTTTCGCAGGGCTCGGGCGTAAAGGGAGTGGGGATGTGGTTCAGGGTATCAGTATTTAAGATGGCGCAATAATAAAGAGTCTCACGTTGAACAAGGGTTAGGGCTTAGGCCTTGATACTGTATCGGGCTTTGTTACTCCTTGAGTTTTCGGGTAGTTCGGGTCAGTTTGGGTCATTGTTGGCTCAGAGTTCCCATCGCGTAAGCCAGGAGCTCGAAACCTGGGAGGGGTTGACTCCTTAAGTGCGACCATGCACCAGAGATCCGAAACGCCCAAAGTCTCACTACCTTCGCCACAATTCACGACGGCAGCTACTGAGATAACGGTTGCAACTCAAACTACTAGCTGTTCTTCCCGGTCCTGCTGGTTGTCATGGCTCCGTGGCTCGCATCTTCCATGTGAGCCGACGAGCAAGGAGCGAGAACCATCAGTACTTGTTTTTTTCGTTGCCAACAAGCCTTTCTGGAAGTACCAGTAGAGCCACTACGAGTTCTATGTCAACTGTTACAAATCCAAACTCATGCAGACATCGGACGTCCTTATAGGAAAGAAGGGTACACTACACACATGCTTCCATGGGGATATTCCACATTCAAGCGCCTCATTGTGAACCGCCAACTCAAGGATTAGGCGTTTAGGAATATCGGGTTCAGCTGCACCCCCCCCCCCCACACTCCAACGGACGAGCCGTAATCCTGTAAAGATGTAAGTAAGCCGTACCCTACAGACGCTGAACCCTATAGCCCTAAGCCCGAAAAAGCAGATTTTAGGCAGTGCTCCGGATCGACCCCAGCGTCGACCCACCCGCCCTGAACCAGTCACTCGGGGCCCGGAGCCCGGTCTTGGGCAAAGAGGGTACGACTATTATATTATATATTATATGATATGATATGATATTGTATTATATTATATATTATATTATATAAGAGAACGGGATTTGAACTGTTTAGCGTGTAGCGAGTCAGGATGCGGATACCATGCTACCTGCTAGTGAGATGTGTGTGTATGAGGTTTAGGTTTGGTGCTGAGACTTGCGTTTAGTAGGTTTAGGCTTAGGGTCTCATTGAAAAGGCATTCTAAGATTCTAGGTCGCAGTCACAGAGCACGAGCATCAGCAGCCGAGTGATGCTAGATTGATAGGTGATGATAGATGTATAAAGCTAAGTACACAATCCTGCAACAGCCAGTAAGACTCGCAGCATAATGAGAGCATGTGACTAGTACACAGCGCCATAGAAGCCGCTGTAGTTGGCAAATTAGCCAATACAGCATGATTATAGTAGTAATCGTAGGAGAAGGAGCAGTAGAAGTAGCAGCAGTGCTACCAATAGTGTCATCAGCTGTATAAGAAATGAAGTGATGCGTATCCTCGTCACGGTACTCAGAATGTTCACCGAACTTACTTGCAAGCTGCAGTTAAGTGTGTAGAGTACGGCTTAGCATAGAAGTGCAGTGAGCTTTTGAACATGCTTAGGCGTTTCATATATGGGCGCTTGTTAAGTTTAGGGTGTACTTGGGTTATAAAGTTAAGGCATGGGGGCTGCAGGGGTAATCCGGCTTTAGTCGGATTGAAACATAGGCCTAGAGTTTCATGTTTGCTGTATTGGATATTTCGCGTTTGTGAATGTTGGTTTCTGGTCATAGGTTCCACACATCTGCCTCGGCAAGGTCTGGCTTCGAGTAAGCTGCAGTTTTGCTATTTTTTTGAGGGCTTTGCTTTAATCGCCATGTCCGCCTTCGTCGCGTTGCCATCCGCCAGCTCAGCTGGCCCGGTGGAGAGGGTCCACTCCTTGAGGGGAGCATCGGAGGCTCCGCCGGCACCGGCAGCCACCTCGGCCTCCACCTGCGCCACCGTGGCCGGCGTCGCCGCGCTGGGGGCCGTGGCCGCAGCAGGACAGAGGCGAAAGCACCGGGCAGCCCTGGCCAAGGGCAGCAGCACTACCCAGATGCCCAAGCCTCGCTCTTTGGCCAATGCCAAGGTGATTGTGTGCGCAGGCGCGACGCTCCCGGAGGGTCGCAAGCTCCGAGTGGCGGTGATTGGTGGAGGGCCCGCGGGTGCCAGTGCGGCGGATGCCTTGGCCCAGGAGGGAATCGAGACTTACCTTATCGAGCGAAAGCTCGACAACTGCAAGCCTTGCGGTGGCGCCATCCCGCTCTGCATGATCGACGAGTTCGGCCTTCCCAAGGACATTGTGGATCGTCAGGTCAAAAAGATGACCATGATCTCGCCGACCAATAAGGAGGTCCAGATCGGTCAGACACTCAAGGATGACGAGTTCATCGGCATGGTCCGCCGCGAGGTTCTTGATGACTTCCTCCGACAGCGGGCCAAGAAGAACGGTGCCACGCTGATCAACGGTCTCTTCATGGGCATGACCATCCCTCAGCACAAGAACGAGCCGTACGTCCTCACCTTCAACGAGTTCGCTGATGAGGCAAGCAATGCTCGCAAGGTCGAGAAGAAGACGCTTGAAGTCGATGTTGTCATTGGCGCTGACGGGGCAAACAGCCGCGTCGCAAAGGACATCGAGGCAGGCGACTACGAGTATGCCATCGCTTTCCAGGAGCGCATGCGCATCCCGGAGAACAAGATGGAATACTACCAGGACAGGGCCGAGATGTACGTCGGAGATGATGTGTCTCCCGACTTCTACGCCTGGGTCTTCCCCAAGTGCGATCATGTTGCCGTTGGCACTGGCACTGTCATCGACAAGAAGGGCATTCAGAGATACCAGCAGGGCATTCGAGACCGAGCGGCTGTTCGCATCGATGGGGGTGAGATCATCCGGGTGGAGGCCCACCCGATTCCCGAGCACCCGAGGCCCTGGAGGGTCAAGGACAGGGCGATCCTCGTCGGAGATGCCGCCGGGTACGTGACCAAGTGCTCTGGTGAAGGCATCTACTTCGCTGCCAAGAGCGGTCGCATGTGTGCGGAGACGATCGTCAAGAGCTCGAAGAATGGAGTTCGCATGATCGATGAGGCGGACCTCATGGAGCACATCCGGGAGTGGGATTCCAAGTATGGACCCACTTACCTGGTGCTTGACTTGCTGCAGAAGGTCTTCTACACCAGTGACGCAGCCAGGGAGAGTTTCGTCGAGCTCTGCGAGGAGGAGTACGTCCAGAAGGTGACCTTCGACTCCTATCTCTACAAGACCGTTCAGGGAAACGCATCCTGGTTGCAATCCTTTCCTTGGCACAAGATAGGGTCTTCCTGCACTTACAGGTTCCCAGCTTGGAGGCCTTCACAACTTGCCTTGTAAGCGTGTGTAGATGTGTAGAAGTATTCATTCATTATCAACTTCTAGTCTATGGGCGTTCGACTTAATGTTCGTACAAAGCGGTAGATGGATGGATGGATAGATAGACTAGTAGTTACATATACATATACATATGTATACATATATATATATACATACATACATACATGTCCATAAGATGCATATAGACATGTTCGTCTAGACCGTTCCCTGAAGCGGCACTGAGGATCCCATGGGAGATCTGAAGCTGGGCTGGAAGACTCTGAGCTCCCTGTACAAGTACAACAACCAGAAGACGCCTGACCCAATGCGGACCTTGGTGTAAGCCTTTTTTTTAAAGGCCAGACGGCTCAGACCCTACCTAGCTTTGTAGCTGACAGGGGTCCAGATCTCAGATAAGCCACGCCTGTTGCTGGCTGTCGCTGGATTCTCCGCGGAGTGCCGTGCTGGTGCATCTCAAAGCCGGGTCATGCCACTGTGCAGTAGACATGAAGAGATGCTTTACAGTGTTTTGTGATGCACCTTCTGGATGTAAGTGCACTTCTAATCACCCCCCTTTGGCCTTTCCGTTTAAGAGGGCCGAGGCTAGCAAGCCCATTTTGGCTAGGACCAGCGATGCTCCGGGTAGCCAGACCGATCTGCTCAGCGAGGCAGACGATCAAAAAGCCCTTCCCTGCCCTGGGTTCTTTGTTTTGGGTTTGTAGGCCGTCATCCCGCACCGTCCGCACCCGGAGAACCTCTAAGCCCTGAACGCTGGAGGTTGGGCTGCTCGACGCCACCACCAGAAAGTGGCACCCTGACTGCAATCAGAGAGTCGCACTTGTTGACGGAAGCCGTCAATCTCGAAACCCCTGATTCATAGATTGGATCCCCTTTCGACTCTTGAGCTCTGAGCCCTCTGACCCCTAAACCGGGCCAGCGGTGTCAGGTTTTAGGCTACCTTAAAAGGCCCTAAACCCAGAGGTCCCATGCGGTGAATGCCCCGGATGGACGGATCTTCGGCATTCCTCAGGGAGCGTCACAGGCCGGACCTCACCTCTTCGCTTCGAGACCCGGTAGTTCTCTAAGTTCGGGCCCCTTTTAGGTCCCCAATCTAGTACGACACCCTTATGAAAAGGACCCTAAAAGGGACCCCTCATTCAGAGAACTACCCACACTTTGGTTATCTCTGAAACCTGATCCTTTCGTATCCTCGTGATTTTGGGGGGCAGCAAGCACGCGACCTCTGGAGGCGGATGCTTGCAAGGAGTTCGATACATTCACAATTCCTAGAGCACAAGGTTTTTCGGTAGGCTTTCAAGTTTACAAAGCTCAGGTTTTTACGTTCAGAGTTCAAGAATGCACCAAATGGTTTCGCAGGTGTGACTGTGCTTGCTTGAAGTCGGCCAGCAAGAAACTGCAGATGGCTGGTTCCCTGAAGCAGCGTCCACCGATGATAGAAGTCCCTTGCGGGCACCACGAGGGGGCAACCCTGGTGTGGATTATGCAGCCTTTGTTGTTGCATTCCCGGTGCCAATTCAGACGTCCTGCTTCCGATCTGCAAGTTAGCGCCCTCCATACTTGCATCGGCTGCCATACTCGTATCATAAACGCTCCTCAGGAACAATCTTCCGGCGTACCCACTGTGGTGAAATCTCGTTCAGCTTGCAGTATGTTGTTTTCGCTGTCCCAATGCTGCACCCTTCGGTCCGTCTTAGTCCTCCTCTTGTGCCCAAACCGCCCTAAGAAACTCGCAGGTGCTCGTGATCGACCCCTTTACCGACAGCCGGCAGCCCGATGTGCGGGTTGTTCTTGACAATTGCCGTCCTCTAGGTTTCGGTCTCTTGCGGTTCCCCTTCTGCCGTTCCTTTATCGCAAGCTTCCTCCATACAATAAGGCATCCACGATTTAGTTTTAGAGAACAACCTACCGTTCGTGGAGAGAGCTTCAGGAAGCGCGACTCGGGTTGGGTTTCCCCCTCCGGTAGCTGACGCAGATGAGAGTACTGCAGGCATTAGGCCCTGCAGGCTCTTCTCAAGCCCTGCCCTACAGATTCAAGGTTTAGGGTTTAGGGCTAAAGTTTAGGGTCTAAAGTTACAGTTCGGCAGCCCCCGAACGCCAGATTTACCACCCTATAAACGCCCAGAGTCGAGCCAGACAACTCGACATTTTTGCAGCCTCCTTGGCTCTGGGCCTCCTCTCGGAGTTCGATTGGGCATCCGACTGCCTTTTATACCGATCCATGTACACTCATGGTACATAATATACAATAGTATATACTGTTTATGGCCTTGAAGGGGCTCCTACCTATATACGTTCGGGCCCAAGTATACACACCATGGGCACATGGAGCCGTAGAGTCATAGGAGCCTCTCAGCAGACTATTCCAAGAAGGAACGAGAAGCTGATGGGCTGAAACTCAAAGCCCACGAATCCCGACAACCTACACCCCAAGGCTGTAAGTCAAGACACCGCTGCGCCAAGACAGAGCCCTGGAAACAAGCATTAAAAGGACCCCATCGCCTGCAAACTTGAATCCTGAGCCAAAAACCCCTAAACCCTAAACCCCAAGCCCTAAGCCCAAAACCCTAAATAAAGGCCCTAAACCCTAGCCCACAGAGTCCTTTCGCCATGGCTGACTGGGATCCCTTCGCGGATCCGGCCGACGAGCCTCCCGAGGCGCTGGGGTGGTCAGGGCGTCTACCTGCGCAAGCATTCCATTTCGGGTTACATACGGGTTTAGGTTTAGGGCCAAGGTCCATTTCGGGTTACATACTGGTTTGGGTTTAGGGTTTAGGGCCAAGGGCATTTCTGAGGGTTTTGTGATCCGGTAGCCTGCAGCCGTAGGCGTAGGGTTGCGAGGTTCAGGAGTGCTGTTGTCATGGGTTTAACCTTTAGGTCTCGGCTTCGGGTGGAGGTCTTGGGTCTCGAGCCGAACGGTAGGACCGGTAGGAGGTGTCTTGTCTTTTGTTGGCTCACTTTTGCCGCAGATCCTCTTCCAAGAAGATGTGCTGGTAGTAGTAGCCGAGCTGGCTAAGGGTAGGGTGTGTGTATGTATGTATATATGTATGCATGCATGTATATACAGATACATCTATATGATTCTATATGTATATAACATAATTGTAGTATATTCTGTGTATGTATATATATATATATGTACATGTGTGTCTGGGGTGAGCTGCATTACAATACTTACTGCAACTGTATTATAATTACATTCGGTGAAGCATCTGATAGTTGGGATCCTGCGTCGAGGCCCGGGCTATGTACTGGGTTCAGAGTGCGGTTCGCGTCCGCGGCTTTCTGCGGCGTTTGGGGGCTGCTGCCTACATTCCGGATGAGAGTAGATCACTTTCAGCTGGAGCTTCTTTGAGGCTTGGTCAGTTTGGGTTTAAGCAGGCAGTGCATGTTTTAATCTGTACCGTAACCTACTTCACTGCATCAGCCAGGGTCCATGGACTGGGTTAGAAGGGGGGTCCCTACAATGCCCTCTACAAGAAGCGCAGTTGCTTCCAGCTTTGGTTCTCAGAGCAGTAACGTCGACAGCCATCATCATACCCTAAACCCCGTCATAAATCCTAAACCTAAACATGGGACACTTTGAGCCTAAGCCATAGACCGACTAAAGCCCCGTTTGCGGTAGTAGTTTGCAGCTTGTTATAATACTATACGGTATACTGCATTGTTGTACATAATAGCAGTCGTAGTAGCAAGCCGACTCACCCACCAGGTGCAGCCGGCCTCAGCTGACGCAGAGCCGCGCGGACGCCAGGCATGCAGGACCATAGACCCTTCCACCAACGCTTGAAAGCCTAAACCCTGCACCCCTAAACTCAAAGCCTAAACCCTGAACCCCTAGAACATAGGGAGGGGTACTACATAACAAACAAGTGCTCAGCAGAGCCCTTTCTGAAAACCGAAGCCCCTAAACCACTAAACCCCTAAACCCTAAAACCCCTTAAACCCTAAACCCTATAAACCCCTAAACCCTATAAAACCCTAAAGCCACTAAACCCCTGAACCCCTTAAGCCCTAAACCCTAAAACCACCAAACCCCTGAACCCCTTAAACCCTAAACCCTGAAACTACCACTAAACCCCTGAAACCCACCGAGCCCTTCGAAGGCCGGAGAGGCCTGGGCTCCACCTCCGAGACCCCGCGGCCGACCGATACGGGCGACTCGGGATTCCTTTTTGTAGCTATAGGGTTTATTTAGGGTTGTGGGTTTAGGGGTTTAGGGTTTAGGGGCTTAAGATGTAGGGTTTAGGGGTTTAGGGATTTAGGGTTTACGGGCTGCTTACAGAAGATCTGGATAAGCAACGACCACACCTCCAAAACCCTAAAACACACAAGCCCAAGCCCATGAGCCAGAAACCCTATACCCCAAAATCCTGAAGCCCTTGAGGTGCATGCCACCCGTTCGTTTGTACTTTGACCTAGCTTTTTGTTCAGGGCTCCCAGGGGGCTGGGGGCAAGGGATAGTTCTATCCGTTTCTCTGCTCTAGGGACTTAGTGACCCGCAAAGCTAACTCGCAATCCCAGGTGGCCTGCCTCCATGGCACCTGCAGCAACAGCAACGTCACCCGGGTGCCTCTGTGGTATTCTCTCAAGGGTGGATACCTTCATACATTGTTATAAATGCATATGAGACTCATCATGGTTCTGAACGACTTTTGCTCTGGTTTCGGGTCTCTATGCTTCACGCTGTGTTAGGGTCTTATGGGTTGAAGACATAGAATTCTGTCTGAAGCGTTTAGGGTCCGTGGTTTGGGGCTTCGGGTCTGTGAACAGGCTTTCTTGCCTTTAACCCTCGCATGCTGAAGGCATCCTAAGTTTGGAGGATGTTGCGGTTGGCTCTGTTTCGGGGTTAGAGCGAGATATGGGACCCTGACGGGCACAGTACATCTTAAAGTTAAAGGAGGCCTTAAAGGAACCCTTTGAGGAACCTTTAAAGGAACCCTACATGGAGCCCTTATGGCGGGGAAGTGCTGTTTTTTTAGAACTTGCCAGCGCCAGATGCAGCTCCAGCGGGCATCGAAGCTCTGTGGGGAGGCTGTGGAGTTCATTTTCCTTGATGGCAGGCAGCGAGTGACTGCTGTGCAGCTTGTTTTCGGTTACAGTTCCGCGCTTCGGGTGCCATCAAACATATTGTACACTTGTGGGTTTTAAACTTTGTGGTTGCGTTTACGGTGTCCTAGTCAGTGGGATAGTTCTAAGCTGTTAGGGTGTTTGTCTGTTTGGCCTTTCTCCAAGCGATTGCGCTTTTCTGGAGGCATGATTAGTAGCAGAGGGAGTGCACGAGTGTGTAGAGCTATGCAGGATTCACGTGAGTTCATTTTCCGT